CCCACCCAGATACCCATTATCTTTAATTTGGTGTTAATTTTTTTCATGCAGCTTTTATATCACTATGGATATACCAATAAACAATGGACATTATTTTTCATGTTTTAAATTTTATACTGCCAATATTTTACTGGAGGTATTATTCCACCACTTTCATTTTATTTACATTATATTCCTGACAGGCAACAAAGTGATATACATACCCAATTTCCTTAGATTTAATGCTTTATAGTACTCCATTTATAATACAAAATAATGTATCCATTTCCATGTTAATGAACTTTAGATTTGTTTCTAATTCCCCACTATTACAACCAATATACTGTTTTTAGGCATCTCCTTACAAATGTGTTTGGGAGTTTCTGTGGCTTATGAAACAGCCATGAGAGGGCTTGATCATAGAATATGATCATAATTAACTTTAATATTTTGCCAAATGGCTTTCCAAATTTGTGATATTAGTCCCATATCACTTTTGAAACAAGACATAACACAGTCAGAGAAAAACAAATACTGTGTGATCTCACTAATGCATAATCTAAAAAAGCTAACCTTATAGAAACAGAGTAATTGGTGGTTGCTAGGGGCTGAGGGTATGGGTAGAAGATGTTCATTAAAAGGTACAATTTTTAATTATAAGGTGAATAAGTTCTGGGAATCTAAAGTACAACAGGGTGACCACAGTTGACAACACTGTTGTACTTTTGAAATTTGCTGAGAGAGTAGATCTTAAATGTTCACAGCACACATACAAATAAAGGTAAATATGTAATGTGGTGGATGTGTTAACTAACCTTTTTTTAAAACTTTTTAAAAAGATTTTATTTATTTATTTTCAGAGTGGGAAGGGAAGGAGATAGAGAGAGAGAAACATCAATGTGCAGTTGCTGGGGGTTATAGCCTGCAACCCAGGCATGTACCCTGGCTGGGAATCGAACTGCAGACACTTTGGTTTGCAGCCGACGCTCAATCCACTGAGCTACGGCCAGCCAGGGCAAGGATGTGTTAACTAACCTTATTGTGCTAATCATTTCACAATATATACACATATCAAATGAAAAAACAAAAATAATTACAACAAAATTTTACCAAAGTAATTTGCAAGAGAAATTGAATAAAATCTTGACCTACCCATTTTCCGGTCATGGAACTATGAACAAATTATGTAACATTTTCAAGTTTCAATTTTTTTATCTATAAAATTTGGGAATTAATATCTAACCACAAATGGGATTTTTTTCTGATCATTTAAATGATATTAGCTATGAATAAAGGATAATTGATATTATAATAACCATCATAATTATTACTATTGCTATAATGATATCAAATATACCTTTATGGCTTAATGAATTTACAAACTCATTGTATGTATTTTACTTTCATATTATTTTCTGTGTAGGTGAAGGAAGATGAACAGTGTTATAGGCTGAATTATGTTTCCCCCACCAAATTCATATTCTGGGGTCTTAACCCCCAGTGCCTCGGGATCTGGCTCTGTCTAGAAATAAGGACTTCAGAAAGATAATTGATTAAAGTAAAATCTTTACGGTGGGTCTTAATTGAATATGACTGATGTTCTCATAAGAACAGGAAATTTGAACACAGGTATATATGCATATGTCAGACAAAGAGCATCTGAGGGTACAGTGAGATGACTGTCAATAACCCATGGAGAGAGGCCTCAGACAAAACAACCCTGGACCTTTGACTTCTATTCTCCAGAAATGTAAGGAAATTGACTTCTGCTGTTTAAGCTAAAAAATAAAGGTAAAAGACATTTATCACAAAGTAGGAATTTGGCAGCAAATTTGACAATATGTTTAATTAGGGGCACTATTGGCAATGTATAAATTGACCTTCCTAATCATTACTTTCAGGGGCTGAAAAAGAATTTGCTACTTGATAATAGTATTTTTCCCCAAAACTTTGAAAATATACATACATATATGCAAATATATGTAAGAAAATGTTCCTTCTAATATTTAGTATTCTACTTAAAGTTTATAGAACATTCTCACACACACACTCACATGAATTATGGCTCTCTTTGGAATCAGCTATAAAATAATTATTGTAAAATTACTTTGAGAAGTCATTCCAGAATTCAAGGTCTAAAAAATAAAATACCACTTTATACATTGTTAGCCATTTTCAAATGAATCTACAAAGTATTTATTAAATTTAATTACTTGCACTCCAGGCCCTTAAAAAATATTTTTTCTACTTATTATAAAACATAAGACTTTCAAATGAAATAAAAGCTGATATTAGAGAGCTAATATTTTTTATTATAATTTAAATTAATGAAGGATTTTTGGAGAGTATTAAGTATACATGTACTTCTTCAATATTTAACTTGACCATGGAGAATTGTAAAAATGTTTAATTAATAATTAAAAATGCTATTAGAATTTCCAAATTTTATATATAGAAATTATTCAGATAAGATACAAATATTGCCCAAATTGTGTTATCTTTCAAGTAAGCACATTGACATAACTAAATCTGAATTCACTATATGTCAAATACAAATAATTACTTATTTTGGAGGCAGTATCAACTGATATCATGAAATAGTTACTTAAATAGACTCTGTTAGGGTACCCTGAATTATTATTTTAATGCAGTAACTATTAATACAACAGACACAGTTTTGAGATGCCTTAAGAATGAATATAAACATCTATGACCAGACAATAATAACAGGCCAGTATGCAGGTAAAATTTTAGTAGAAGCATTGTTTTAGTGCCAATAAGAAAAGGCATGACTAGAGAACATAAAAGAGATTCTTCTTACTTATTTTAAATATAGGAGACAAAAAATGCATTAACTAAAAACAATTGATAGCTTCTATATTTTTGAAAGCAAAATGTTTCAACGGGTCGATATATATAAACTTCCAGATTTTGAAGCAGTAATTCATATTATTACCACTTTCTTTTTTAAAAAAGATTTTATTTACTTATTTTTAGAGAGAGGGCAAGGGAGAGAAAAAGAGGAGAGAAACATCAATGTGTGGTTGACTTTCATGTGTCCCCCACTGGGGACCTGGCCTGCAACCCAGGCCTGTGGCCTGACTGGGAATCTAACCAGCAACCCTTTGGTTTGTAGGCCAGTGCTCATTCGATTGAGCCACACCAGCCAGGGCACATTATAACCCTTTTGAAATGGTTAAACTTTGTTCAGTATTTACCAGAAATAATTAAGGGAAAGAAAGAACATGTTGAATGCTTTAAAATTATTCATTTTATTACCACACAAAGTTTTTCTGTGTCAAGCCTTTTGGTCATTTGATAAATTGATAATGAATACTCTCAAAGGAGACCCTCAAGGTCAACATAATAATGTATAGAAACTGACAAAAGAAAAGGTTATCAAATAGGATGGAGGCATCACACATTGGTCAGAAATGTTTGTTCATTTGTTAAAATATCCACTCAAAGACATGCTTATTGGATTTTAGAGAGAAGTAAAGGGAGGGAGAGAGAGAGGGAGATAAACATTGGTTGCCTCTTGCTCACACCCTAACTGGGGTGTTAGCTGCAACCCAGGCATGGATTCCTACCAGGAATTGAACCCTCAGCATTTTGATATATGGGATGACACTCGAACCCAGCCACACTGGCCAGGGCTGTATGTGTCATCTTTTTTATTAAAACTTGAGTCTCTACTATAGTTGTCCATGACCTTTGAAACTCTAATGAAAGTTGTGAACAGTCCCACAGAAATATGCATACTCCCCCCCACACAAAATTTTGTGGTCTTTTCCAAGGAATTTCATAGTCATTGTGGACTCTGAAGTGTCCATCTTAACATTTTAGGAGTAGGGTGATCTGTATTATTTGCATCCCAAGTCAGATATAAATCTTTATGATAAATTTATAGAATGTGGCTAGCTTAACATAATGATGTTTGGGAGTAGTGTATGAGGACCCAGTTCAAATGCTATGAAAAAGAGCAATCAAAGACGTGTTCATTTTAAAGAAGAAAGTTACAGGTATAAGTTGAACACCTTCATAAGTGTGCTCTTTCTTGTCCCCTCCCTCTCTCCCTGCCTCCCTCCTTCTCTCTCTCCGCATGGTTTTTCGTGATCTCTCCTTTCTCTCCAGCCATCCCTCCACCCCACGCAGTAAACCTCTGGAATTCCACTGTGTCTGTTGAGTGTCACGAAAAGTAAAAGTGATTGACCAGATGTGGTGCTTTTGCCCCACCTCTTCCCTTCTTTTCAGGAAAGGATGGAGTAGCCCAGCGGAGGCCCTGTGTTTGCCAGGTGGGGGCGGGTGTAATAAAGAAATTCGGTATCTTCACCACAACAGCTTGGGAAATGCATCGACTACAGAATGAACCTCAAGTCCACTTCCTAACAGTTTGCGAGTCCGCTCAGTGAGTTGCAACCCCTTTAATCAGAAAGAATTTTGTTTCTTTGGCCGCCCTCCAGCACCTGAAGAGGAGAGTCTCAAAGGCTGCTGTCTGTCCAGACTTGATCCCATCTCCTTACCATGGTCTCCCACCACTTCGCCCCGCAATCGCCGTCATTCTGTCCTTTCTCCGCCTCCAGCTAAGGAAATGGGTGCAAACAGGTCCTCGGACAACCTTAGGAGGGAGGGGCTTCATTGGTTGGATCCAAATCCCAGCGGGAGGGAGGGGCACCTGGAGGGAGAAGTGGATGCAGAGCAGTGCTGTGGGCCGGGACCCGCTTGGGGTGGGGGCGCCGCGGCCTCGAGGAGAGGCGGCGGGAGACCCTGATCTTGCTACCCAGAGTTAAAAGGTCGGGAAGAACTTGCTCAGCTTTTCGTTGAAAGCACACCGCTATCAACCCCGGGAGCTTCAGGGTGCAGACACGAAAGGGTGTTGAGCGGTATACAAAGCTCTCCATCCACATTGGGAGCTCAGCGAGGAAAGGAGGGGGCGAGGAAAGGCAGGTTCCGCCTCCCCCTGGCCCGCGTGCACACACGCGCCCACCGCAGCTCAGGCTGGCTGAGCGCGGGCTAGTGTGAGCGCGTGTGCGCACGCAGTGGAGAGCCTCTGCCCTCGCCTGACACCCTGCTCAGGGCATCTGGAGACCCTGGAAAACTGATCAGGCTTAAAGTATGGCATGTTGCAAAGATGGTTTCTGCCAAGAAGGTACCCGCGATCGCGACGTCCTTCGGGGTCAGTTTCGCTCTCCTGCACATCCTGTGCCTGGAGGCTTGGTGAGTTCTCTGGGGTACTGGGGGGCAAGGGGAAGGTGGAGAAGTGGCCGGATCCTAGCCCCCTTTGGCCGCCCACCCCTCCCAGGGCAAACCGGACCCTCCTGTCTTCCCTGTAAGGTCAGGGGCCAGAGCCAGGCTTTTCGGTGACCACATAAACGCGGAGAGCGGAAGGGTGCAAGAAGAGCTCGGGTGTTGGGGTTTGTGCCCGGCGTGCGTCTCTCCCGACCCTTTCTCTCCCTCATCCCTCAGCTCTGCATCCTTTAGCTCGGGGCAAGCGACTCTTTCCCTAGAAGATAATGTTTCCACCTGTTCTCTGATTCTTAAAATAATCCCTTTTTCCCTGCCTTTTTATTTTTTTTCATTCGCAGTTTAAACGAATCCCCAGGACAGAACCAAAATGAGGATAAATTATGCCCGGAAAATTTTACCCGCATCCTGGACAGTTTACTCGATGGTTATGACAACAGGCTGCGTCCTGGATTTGGGGGTATGAACGATTTCAAACGCTGAAGTGTGTCCTGTCTGTCCCTCTCTCGGTCTGCCTGTCTGTCTGTCTGTGGGAATATCATTAGGTATGCCTCGCGTGTAAAATGAAAAATCAGTCTATCTCTTTCTCCCCCTTTCCATCCCACCCTCCCTTTACCCCTCCCTCCCTCCCTCCTCTCTTTGGATTAGACCTCTGACAGAAGACCGCCCCCAACCACACTTTCCCAGGTCCCTGCCCCCTCAGAAGCTTTGCTTCTCCCCCACATTAATTACCTCCAGTTACTTGACTGCTGGGTGGGGGAGGTTGGAAGGGAAGAGTCAAAAATGGAAACTCGGGGCTCAGCTGCCCTGCTACCTTCCTCGTGCCCTGAGAATGGGGTTTCCCTGAACCTGGCCATTTCACTCAGAGGAGGTTGCATATGAAGCAGCTGAGCGACGTTCCTTTTCTATCACGTGGTATCAGTCCCCCAGCCAAAACCTCGGCCTTGTTCTACCTAGGACATGAATCTGGGGCACGAAGCTGCGTGCTCTGCTAGACAACCCAGTCCCTTCCTCTTCTCTCCTAAGTGGGATGAATTTTTAATTATTTGGGGAGGGGACAGTTGTTTCCTTCCTAAGACTTTGCAGTCAGAAGTGTTTCTTCCTTCAATAAATACAGGGTCCAACACAAATAACACCCTTTTTTATTAAAAAGTGTTTTTATTAAAGATTATAAGCATGTAATTCTGTAACATAACAATATCACACTCAAGCACATCATATGATATTTTAGGTGAAATGTTCAAACTAAAACTATAAAATATTACACCCATATTATTACCCTACCAACCACCGTCAAGCAGGTGTTACTTCTGAGGGATTCTGTATTTGTAAGAGGTCTACTAGAAGTGCATCCATAACAGTACCATTGCTCTTTTTTATATTCATATTCCCTTCGCTTACATAATGAGAATCTTTGTGGCAGGCATCGTGCTATGCACTAGGTTCACAGAAATCTCAAGTAACAATTCTTGAGATTCTTCAAGTAACCTCAGAGAAGGCAAGTGACTTCACCGGAAGTGTGGGTCCTGGTTTTCTGACAGGCGATTCCCTGTTTTTTCCATTATACTGAGCTTGATACCTCTCAGGAAATGAGTTGAAGATACAGGGTTTGTCTCAAAGGAGCTCTTATATTCTAGTAGTCTTAATACTAACAATAATGACAACTAGTCTTACATGTATTTATTTAAATTTCTACATATATCAGAATTTTGTAGGCATTACTGTTCAACCCTCACAACATCCTAGAGACAAAGCTATTACTACCCCCAATTTACAGATGTGGAGATTGAGGCTTGGGGAATTAAGTAAGTGGTCCAAGTTCACAGTAAGTGGCATGGGCATGATGTGAACCCAGTTCAGGTTGTGTATTTAAAAGACAAATCCATGCAGATTGGGAGGATACCAGATACTATGTGATGGGTATCACATAATATGTATTACAAGCATGGAGAAATGTAAGCTTCCTCCTGAGGATGTGTAGGAGACAAGATGATAGGAAAATGGAGAAAGGAAAAGGGAGCAGAACATTTCTGAGACATAGGACAGAATTAGACATGATTTAAAAGGAGTGTAGTCCCGGGTTACAAAATCTGTTGGAGAAAAAATAGAATTGAATAAAGTAGAACTGGATGGTTCTTTGGAGTCTAAGTTTTATTTTCTTTTAACAAAGATGCTGAGGACTGGAAAGGGAAAGAGATTTATACAGGCACCCAGCATACGGAAAATGATAGGCTGGAATCAGGCCAGGTCATCTGATCCAGACCACTCTCCCCTGGATTTTTTTGAGAAGGTTGTGGGGAGCCATTGAGAGCATTAATTCAGTCTGTGTGTTGTCAGTGATAAGGGATGAAAGATTCTCCTGGTTCTTTTCACACCGCCTCTCCAGGGGTAGGATGCTCAGCACCGCCATTGCCTGTGTGCAAATTTGGAAAGAGGCTTTCTTATGAAAGTGAATCACGTGCCAATGCACAATCTTTCCTCAGTGGCTGGGAAATTATGATTTTAGATCAAAAATAATTTTGTGGAGAATGTGTCATGTGATGTGATACCATTTATACCACATCAACAAAAGAGGGTTTATCTGCTCATAAAGATTTTAAACTTATTTCAAGTAAAGAATAAATAACAGGGGTATCAAATTGCATATTTTAAAAATATTCATTCAATAACTGATGTATCTGAACATACATAAAAGTGAAAAGTTCAAATTGAAACTATATGGCTTTATCATTAAATGTTGGGAGCTAAAATAATATCTGCCCAGTTGGTTATGATGTAAGTTATCATGCAAAAGGGAGAAGGGATCCAATGTACATGGATCCTTTTCATCAACTCTCCTCTCCCATAGTATTACACAGGCAATAAAATGAGTGAAATCAATCTGTGTAAGCCATTACTGGATTTTGGTTAGGTGCAGTACTGCTGAAATGTCTCAGAGGTGTTATTAGTCATCTTACATGTCACTGCCAAGTGATCTGCTCTACCACCTGGAGGTACTTTTACATCTTTAAGGGAAGGAGTTGAATTCACCTTTCTCCAAGTGTTAGCAGTTGATTAATCAGTAAAAATTTACTACAGCACAGTTTTCTGGCTCTGCTCATTAATATTTGTGGTAAGTGTGATTCATTTTTTAGAAGTGGGTCATCCTCTGTACATGCATAGTATTCCAAATGTGACAAAGGAATAGTAATTCTCACCTGCAGAAAATGTGTGATCTGTTTACAGGATGTTGTAAATGAAATACAATTCACTGAAAATAATAAGATAATTTATTCTTAGCATGGACTCTTGCTAAGTCCACAAGTTTGATCCCTTCCTTCTCTGACATTTCATGCTTTGCAGAAAGCTTGGCATTTTTAAAAGAAAATGAAAACAATTCAAGTTTTGACCAGTGTGCTAAAAATATGGATTTACTTCCTGGTTCCTTTAATCCTACTTTCACTCTTTGTGGAGCATTTACTTTATATCTGTTTATACAACTTAGCTGTGTTCCATTTAAAGTAAAGCTAAAAGCAAAGATCTGAATTGAAATTGGATGGTTTGTGATTGCTCAGTAGGCCAGGCAGGGGTTGAAATAGATTTAGAAACTAAATTACATATTTTTAACTCAGCAGCACAGCTTGCAATGGGGGAACTAAAAGGAACTGAAATGGTTCTCTCCTTTTCATCCCTCCAGGATCTCCTCTCCCTTGTTTCCCACATTCTCCAATTGGAGAGAAAAAGGGGGAAAGGTGAGAAGAGAAGGAAGGAGGCATGGTGTGAAAAGCTAGATTGGGACTTCTGAAGGGACGAAGTTCTTTCAGCCTCTGACAAATCAGTCTGCTAGCATCCTGAAGTAGCTTCTACCTGCTTAGAAGTGGCACACCAGTACACCGTTCTACAAAGAAGCTAGAAAAGTATCCCCCCTGTGCTCTTATCCACTTTCAACACTGTTATATGCCTTCTGAAGGATGCACAGCTGGGGTACTGACTGCCAGGAAATAGTTCAGGAAGCCAGTCCTTACCCATTTTCCATTTATTGAAGGGTTACACAACATTTGGTTCATCTCAGTTTTTTGATGCACCTGATTTGGCGCATGCTTCCGCTGTAGATGATTGCCTTAGATCATCTTTCACAACCTGTCTGAAATGGGAGTGATGCATTAGGGTCGATTTTGCAAGGCTGCTCACTAGCATAGCAGGATTTCACATTCACAGAGTCTCTAGAGTTTTGAAAATATTTTCACATATGACATCTAATAAGATTTTTACAACAAAATGAAGAAATAAGCAGGGCAGGCATCATTTCTGTTAGGAAGGAGACAGAGAAAAGGTGCCATGAATTGTCCAAGAACCCTTGAACTAGTAAATGATAAGACTGCAACTCACATTTCAGTCTGTAAAACCCTGGTCCAGCTGCTAACGTTGCTACATCCACTTCTAAGGCTTTCTTCCATCTTTCTGTTTGCAAAGAGTCAAATTTTCATTAACATCTTTTCTTGTTACTAAGTAAGTAGGTCATTAAAATAAGCAAAACTACATTGTCCCCCAAAGGAGCAAAATGAAACCTTTTATTTTAAAGCTTTAATAACATTTTAAAGCAGGAAAGACATCATGGAGAAGTGTGTACACTTAGGTAAATTTGGGATAATTTTTCCACACAAATGAGAATAACCTTACAATGTTTTCAAGTAATCTATAACTCAACCTAAAAATTAATGTGTCATGTGTTAGCTTTATTAATTCAATATCAACAGAGGATATATTTAAAAATATGTAGAGAGAGGGAAAAAAATCCCCTATCCACAGGGGAACAGCAAAGTACAGCTTCCTTCTCTTCTGATTTGTCATAATCATTCATTCATTCATCCACTCATTCATTCATTTGTTGACCAGTAGATATTTAGAGACTACTATGTGTCAGGAGCAATGTTCGTTTTGAAGATATGATTTTGAATCAGACACAAGCCTTGGTGAAACTAACAGCTGAGCAGTGTAGAGGGATAAAAATAACAAAGAAACAAATAACAAAATAGAGGTAATGCTATGGGACAATTCAATAGCATGTTAACACAAAGAATAAATAGGGTGAGGGATCTCTTTCAGATGCTGTAGTCAAGGAAGTCTTTTAAGTTGAGACCTAAAGGTGCCAGACATGAAAAGGATAGGCAAAAGTTGTTCTCATGAAGAAAAGACAAACAAACAAAAAAAGTGTCAAGATCCTAAGGCAGTTAATAGAGTAGTGTGATTTAGATAGTGAAGGGAGTTCTTGTGCCTTAGCCAGAAAGCAGAGGAAGCATCTTGCAGGACTAGCTTGGGATGGTAAGCAGATGCCAGATCAGGTAAGGCTGTTGAGGATCCTGTAAAGGAGCTTAGATTATTCTTTTAGTGAACTTGGAAGCCACTGGAGTTTTTTAGGTGGAGGGAATGACATGGTATGCCTTCCTTAGATTGTAGTGTGACCCTTCTGGCCAATGAATA